TTATTGCACCACGGAGTGCTTTTATTTATTTATTTATTTATTTATAATTAGAACCGGAGGTAGTATAAGAGTATGATAACTATTTTGAGAAAATTAAAGCAATTTATTAAATTAGTTAGCTGTAATAAATAAGTGTTATATTTTTTAAAATACTCTTGTTAATCATATGTATTAAAATTATCACGGTGAAAACTCCTTAACATGTGTAATAACTATAAAGATTATTTGAAAATAAATAAATAAATATTAAAGACAAAATAGACTGAAGTGTTATATTTATGATCAAAGTAAATTTTTAAGTAACTCTTATATTAATGAACGAGCTAATATATTAATAACAGTATTTAATATTAAAAAGTTAAAACATTGCTGGCACTGCCTGCGTTGCCACTGGTCCCTGTTCCTCAATCCCTGGTTCGGTGGCAAAAATAAATTGGAAAAAAAAAAAGAAGCCTTGGTTGGAATGTGATTCATTCTCCCTCAAAGAAAAACATCGTACATTACAGATTACAAGTCAAAAGGCTCAATTTACGTCCTTCATAAAAGATATTGATCAGATATCCAGAGATACGTCACTCAGGAAAAACAGACGATCAGAAACAAGCCAGAAGAGGAATTAATGATGAGGCTAGCAGCTTCACATTAAATTAAACGAAGTCAGGGCCATCCATGAGGGCCATATCTAGATCCACAGTGACGGTGTCCTCATCGAGTATTCCACTAGTGGCCCAACTGACCATAAGTTCGTCAAGGTTGAAGTATGAACAAAAGTCTGCTTCATTTAGTTGATGCAGAAACTCGTCTCTTATTCCAGGACTCCACAAACTCACATCTGACGAATCGTGATTTTCATGTGAAAGCTGAGGTTCTGAACCCTGACACTGGTTTAAGAACGCATCAGTGGCAATTAGATGGTGAGCTTCATAAATCTGCTGCTCGCTCGAAGCTAATGATTTTTCCTTCGCACTCTGGGGATATTGAATGACCACGTTCTTGCATCTACCAGCCTTGGTACGGATTACTCGTGTTTGAGTCACATCAGGCTTATTGCTTACTGCTGATCTCATTGTTCCATGTTGTTCAGATATTGAACATGCCCGTGTCCTGAGCTTTTTTGCCAAAGTGGTGTTCCAGTAGTTCTTGATTTCATTGTCTGTTCGGCCAGGTAGCCTTCCAGCTATGAGAGACCACCTGAGATAGACTTACATTAAAAAGACCGGCAAAAGCAAGATAAACTATGAATTATGGAAGGAGAAATAGTGCGAGACTAATTAAGAAGAATGAGGGGAGGGAATGAATATAATAACCTGTTACCAAGAAGCTTATGAAGCCTAATGATGAGTTCTTCTTCATCTTGTGTGATGCCGCCTCTTTTAATACCAGGCCTGAGATAGTTCAACCATCTGAGCCTACAGCTTTTGGCACTCCTATTCAAGCCTGCATTTAGAATTACAAAGGGTCATGCATGCCCAGCCAAGCACAGAGGAGAATTAAGAACCAAAGTTAATTACCAGCTCCTTTAGGGATGCGTGTCCATCTGGCTTGGCCGTGTGTCTCAATGTAAGAAGTCAGTAACTTGTCCTCTTGAACCGTCCATGCTCCTCTGTTCAGCCCTCCTCCTTCCGCGCAGCCACGTGGACTCTTCCCCATCCTCCTTTTTCACTGTATAAGATATCTGTCTCTCACTCTTCAAATTACACTTGTTAGCCCAGCCCCAGCTCTATATATAGTCTATCTGCCCTTCAGCTGATACATCCCCCTCCTTGAACCGCGCCTACGTTTATCAATAAATATATTCAAACGTGAAAGGTTTCCATTGAAAAAGAAGCAAGTCCTGTTCTCTAGAATAATTGTACTATTAATTATTGCAAGTAGAAGGCGGCAAGTGGATAGTACTTAGACAAAAGATTCCTTTCATCTCACCATGAAGAACAAAACAGATTCCTGCAGAACACATCGGGTGATGAATTTATGAGATTATTAGGTTACAACCTAAGTGCTGACTATGGTCGGCCACTGTTATAGCCGTGAAGTGCTGCTAAGAACGAAGTTGTGTGCATGGTTATACTATGTATGTAGAATATATATAAAACTAGGAACCAGGATTGGTGCCTGTTAAAATAATATAGAAATGAAAGTAACGAGAAACAAAGGACACAGGATATGAATTAATCAACAACCTGTTACCATGAAGTTCAAGTGGGAGAAATTACTAACTTGCCGTGAACGGTAAATATATTCATCGACCAAGAAACAGAACTTTTAACAAGTCCTAGATACTCAATTTCCAGAAAACGTGCTTTAACTTATTAATCAATACAACATTGGATATCTGACTTTTAAGCTAATCAAGTATAATCCATCATCAATAAATCAATAAATCATGCAAAAACAAAGTCCATGTGTATAATATAGTGGTCTTTCCCTGAAGTCCGTGCTTTTAAATCTTTTCGTTCTTTAAGCAACCCCCATACAATAACAGGGGTCTCTACTCTCCCGAAATATCAATTTATTAAGATGTCCTTCATATGACATGTTTGGCTTGGCATAACCATACTTCCTAAAACATACGAAGTTTTATTCAACTAATGCTTCTGAAAACTACTTATTTATAATTATAATTTCACTATGAGAAAGTCATAAATATCCTTTTAAACTGAGTGGTGTATGTAATAGATAGAAAATATGGGCTTGTTTAGTTTCTTGTTTTGAAAGCAATTTTTTAAAAACAGAAAAATAAAAAAACTTGTTTGGTAATTTGTTTTTAGTTGATTGTTTTAAAAAAAACAAAAAACAGTAACATGTTTTTAAAAACTAAAAAACCAAAACAATTTTTATATGTTTTTTTGTTTTTGCTTTTGTGTTTTTATTTTTTGTTTTGAAAAATTTTAAGAAATCTTCTTCTCTTCTCACTTAGTATCTACTACTTATCATTACTAACGACAACTATCACTTACCAAGTATGGTTTTTTCTTTCAAGCATAATTTTTTAAAAATTATTATTCAAACAAATTTTTTTGTTTTTTATTTTCAAAAATAGTTCTAACAAACAATTTTATAAAATTGTTTTGAGAACAAGAAAATAAAAAACAAAAACAAACAGGCCCATCATACATTTTTTCCAAATATGCAAACTCTTTTTGGCGATTATATGCTTGTAAAATATGCTGGCATTCGCATGGCTGGCCAGTGAGCTGACCTGCTCTGGGTTTAGATGGAATTGATTGGTGGGTTGTCAGCTGAATATTGCATTTCAACCCACAGTAATTAGCAGAAGGCTCCGATCAGTTATTCATGTGTGCGCGCGCGCAGAAAATAATGCATGATGGGAGACAACTAGGTATGTGATGATACAAAACAGTCCAGAGATTCACAAAAAACATGTCTGTTCTTGACTAATCTGCACCACGCTGCCCGCATGGTTTACTGTGCAGTGTTTTGTTTGTTTCCAGCTTGCAGGTTAAAAACAAGTTATCAAATTGAAAGCTTCTTTCGGCCAAAAATAGAAAAATCAAAAGCTTCCACATTCATATGGCTATTAATGATTACGGGTTGCGTTTGTAATGGTTGCTATTCTTTCTTCAGTCCAGCTAAGACACACCAGTGGTGGGCTCATAATAAGCGAGGGAAGCGATTTCAATATATATCCTTCTTGGACTGGGCTATGGCCTGGAAATTTTCATCCAGACTCTATCCAATTTCATTGTCAAACTGATCCAATTTGACAATCCAAATTTTTGTGCGTGCATGGTGAGGCTCCAATTTTTCTTTCTTTTTTGGTTCATAGCTGAGGCTCCAATTTTTATGCTGAAGCACATACTGGTTGCATATTCCGTTCAGTCGTTTCCGAGAAAGTAAGAGCTGACGGTCATAAAATGTTGGCGGCAGTACTGAAATTCTTCAAAATCCAGCAGATCTTCCGCCTCCCCTACAATGCTAAGCAAATCCTGTTGACAGCAACACGTGCAGAGAAACGGTAAATCCGAGTCGTGTCTTACAGACACTGTCCTTAAGAACTATTCCGCAACTACTAGCGAAGTAAGAAGCGGCACTCCCTAGGATTAAACGAATTCTTCCTGTAAGATCAAGGTGAGCAGAACAGCGAAAGATAAAAGAACTCAGCAAGGCAGAATACTAGAGGAGGGAAGAAAGTGCTGCCGAAAACTCAAAGCTCAGTTGTGGTGAACTTCGATTTCATGCCCCATTTATAGGCCGCGGATCATAACGGAGCATTGGGCATTTAAACACAATTAAGTTTCGGTTTCAATATCATTAACTCACTTAATGATGATTTAGAATTATTAAAGACGTCAGTTACAAATATTAAAGAGGTATAATGGTGATTAAGGAGTTGTATTAATTAGACAGATATTTTTCATAAAAAGTGCCCAGTACCGCATTTGACTCATGCATAGAGGGTGAAGGGAAATTGCCGAATTTGTCTCCAGTAGCCCATTGTGCGTATGAGTCCACTCCTCCTCTTGACTCATTTAGCAGCCCAAAACCTCTTATTACTTGAACCCCCCACAATCTCAAGTAGTGTGAGACTCTTCCTTTGACACACTCACACAATATTTACAACATAAAAATTATGAGCCCTTTATTAAGATGGATCAGAAAAATTCTCTGTCTTCTCTTTTGTTTCACTCTGATGTAATCTATTAAGCTTGCCTCTTGCCTACTTAGAAAGAGGGGAAAAGAAAATTTCTCTGTTTTCTTACGTTTTAAAATTAAAAGAGTTCGGGATTTAGCGGGAACAGATAAGATATGGTTGGATAATTGGTGAAGCTAGTTGAGTGCATCCAGAATACAGTATATATATCAACCATGCGGCATGTCACCATCGAAGTCGTTGTAGTATAGTGGTGAGTATTCCCGCCTGTCACGCGGGTGACCCGGGTTCGATCCCCGGCAACGGCGAAATTTTACTTTTTTCACGTGGATTTTTTGCTTAGGAATACGGCATCGTGTCCTTTTCCAGGAGAAATGGAGAATGCGTTTGCGTTACTTTGCTCTCTGTTGCTTCCTTGCCCGTCGCCCGTCGCCCTAATCAGTCCAAATTTGTCTTATAAAATTTTCGTCTCCAAAATTTTATCCCCTTTCGCATATTTTGTGAGGGAGGATAAACCAGAACCTATAAGTGAATAATCAAATTCAGTGCTTCCTGGACTGATTGTTGAAATTGTGAGTCGGACGAGGTGCAGAAGTGAGAATGGGTTGGGGTCACCTGGGAAGAACTGGGCAATCCAAGAGGGGTGAGCCGAGCACCAGTGCGGAGGCTGCTCCCGGAAACACCGAACAATCCGTGCCTCGGCAATTCCCCCGGGCGGCTCAGCCTGAGATCATGAGAGCGGCCGAGAAGGATGATCAGTATGCCTCTTTCGTTTATGAAGCCTGTCGCGATGCCTTCCGTCACCTCTTTGGTCTGTAGGCCGTATAGCCCATTCGCCTTCACCTTTTAAGATTTTATGTCAATTGCTTTTCCCGTTTCACTCCTTGATTTTATAGTAGAAAAGATGTCTAATTTACCTGGTAAATATGGAGTTGTCCCTAAGGTTAGACTAATTCCTTAACTTTCTGTCTGTTATTAAAAAATTTGACGAGACCTAGCATTACTTGTTCTACTCGTCACTCTTCGTTTTGCTCTTCTATTGTTAATTTTCTTCCCCATTTTTAGACTATAACTAGTTAAAAGAAATTTCATTTAACCCAGTTTTATGGATAAAATTACGTACTATTTTAGGCTTATTCTCATTTTAACATTTAATTTGGCGATGAATTCATAGGTCCGCTCGAGCCAACCTGACATCTCTGCTTTTCTTTGTACAGGTACTAGAGTTGCAGTTACCTACCAAAGCGAGGTCAGCACTTCATTAATTGTATTCGTGTTTTCTCAGTATATTTTCAGTCCATTTATCCTGGAACGAAATTGTGTTGGTTTCAAGATAGAGTTAACTGTGATGTTATTGTTTTGCAGACAAAACTATTGGGACAGATGCTTTACTATGTGCTGACAACAGGTTCAGGACAGCAGACGCTTGGAGAGGAATATTGTGACATCACTCAGGTTTGCTGTATTTGCATGAACTTTTGACCTTGTCTTACTGCATATGTTGAGTTGTCTAGCATGTCGCTGATCTATTCTCATTTTATTGTTCCGAGAGTGGCTTGTTCGGACTTGAAACTCGGACGGTTGAGTGTTCATTTATGAACTATTAATGCCTTCAACTGCCTTTAGTCTTTATCTACAAGTGAAATCACTGAGGTCATATTTTAGTCACGGATTGTGGTGTTTTCACTTCTCGTATTGGAGGCTTGGGTTTATCTTAGCGGAGTTTTTATCTAATTTGTTTCCTTTCCTCCGAAGTTCTGATATCTGATAGTTCTGATTTGTTTTTAGGTTGGAGGACCTTATGGACTTCCTCCTACTCCTGCAAGGCGTGCTCTTTTCATTGTATACCAGACAGCTGTTCCATATATTGCAGATCGAATAAGGTTGATTTCAGCCTCGTTCTTTCACTATATATTCATCAAATGTCAAATTGAATTTGTCATGCTATTTCTGCTACCGTGATCAGTAATATGTATTTCTTTTCAAAGTTAATGATGGCTTCCCTGTTGATTGTACAGTTCTAGAATTGCTTCCCGAGGCATTGCCCTCTCTGATTCACAATCTGCTGAGGTCTATGGCGAAAATGGTACCATTAGGAGTAGTGAATTTCAAACTTCTGATGCGAGGGAACTTCCCTCTTCTGCATCAGGGCAATCTCTTACAACTCTGACAAGGTTGAAGGGGAAACTGAGAGGACTTTGGTTGCATGTTGTTCAGAGATGGCCTACGGTACATTAATCTCGTTACATTTACGCGGCTCATTGATTTCAATCAAGGGCAACGTTGTACTGAAGTGAGGTTTTATGTTGCTGCTACTAGATGCTTCCTATGGTTCGTGAGTTGTTGCAACTGGTTCTTCGTGCTAATCTTATGTTCTTCTATTTTGAAGGTGATGCTTTGCTTGATGGTCTCATTTACTGTCATGAAATTTCCATAGCATGTTTTCAAAGTTTCCGCTTTTGCAGGTCTCTATTACCATATATCAAAACGTGCTGCAGGAATTCGATATGTCTTCATTGGAAAGTCATTGAATCAAAGGCCCAGGTATTGTTCTTGTATAATTTTAAAAAAGGGGGGGGGGGGTTCTAGAGGAACTCTATTGTTCAGTAATAAAAAAATATACATATGCATACACATACATGTACATATACCTATACATACACATACATATATATAAGGATATATGCCCTCTCTTGTCTTTCTTTTACAATCTGGCTTTCATTTTCCATTTCATTTAGTTTTCTAATGCCAATCCTTCTTTTGGTTTGATATCCCTGGAGTGGGTCTGTAAAGGTATGATACCAATGCGAGTCTTTGCTGTTATTCACTCATTATTTCTTCATTTAATTACGCTGGCTTTGTTTTTTCCCCTGATGTCTTATCATTCATCAGTTTGACCAGGTCTCTTTTCAAGATTTTTTTAGATTTAGAGCTTACTTTCCTGTATCCCCCCCCCCGGGGCCCGGGGGGGCTAAAAAAAGAAAAAAGAACTTACTTTCCTGTAATTTGGCTTCAATGCAGATATCAAATTCTGGGTGTATTTCTATTGATTCAGCTCTGTATAATTGCTGCCGAAGGGCTACGTCGGAGCAATTTATCTTCAATTGCGAGTTCAGTTCATCAGACATCCTTTGGGGCGCACCAGAGATCAGCAGGTTATAGAATAATCTAATTGATCTGCACTGCTTGTTCATTTTCGCTTCCTTTTTCCTAAACTTTTTTGCTTCATCTTAGGAGCGTAAGGGAAAATGAGCTTGTCTAAACTATATATGGGATTTGTCTCTTATCCCAATCTGATTCCACCATTATGTGATATAGGACGAGGTTTGCCTGTTTTAAATGAGGAGGGTCTCCCAGTATCGTCAGACACAGACAAAGGAAATTGGTTATCTGACACTACACATTCGGAGGTGCAAATTTCACATGAATCCTTTTTTTTTTTTTTTTTTCCGTTTTTCAAATAACATGTCAGCGTATGTTTTAACGGCTGCTGAACTTGTCACAGATGTATCTTGTTGATAGGTTATGTAGTAGAGCGTCAAGTGTTTTGATATTCTTCTCTCTTTTGCAGTCCCAAGCAGCTAGTGGAGTGGCCAAATGCACGCTCTGCCTGAGTAATCGGCAGAACCCAACAGCCACTTCCTGTGGCCATGTATTTTGCTGGTATTGCCTAGCTTTGCTTCTTTGTTATTACCATTCTTCAAATGCCCTGATCCTCTTCCTGTCCGTTCTCTTCATCTTGTGTTTGATTTGTTCTACATAGGAACTGTATAACGGAATGGTGCAACGAAAAGCCAGAATGCCCTCTTTGCCGCACCCCCTTAACCCACTCAAGTCTAGTGTGTCTCTATCATTCAGACTTCTAGAATCTGCCTCTTGTCAGCAAAGACCCTTAATCTTCTATTTATCACCGATAAGAGAGGCATCAAAGGATTTTTTCCGCCTTGTATAGGAAAATAGTACAAGCTAAGAGTGAGGCATTTGGTGTAGGGATCTTCTAAAGCTAGAGGACGACTTTCCCAAAATTTGTTGGTGAAATCCCAGTCTAGTTAATCCAACCATTTTTCTATAGACATGTGTTTTATTTTTAGAAAGCAATCAAATTTCGGCTTCCACTTAATTTCTCCTGCGTTGAATGTGAAGTTCCTTCATCCTCCTCCTTGCTTCATCATCCATGTTGCCGATTTAGAGCGTGTTTGGTTCTACGTTTGAAAATTACAAGCCTGCCTAACCTGGAGGTATAACACTGGAGAGATGAGCAAAGCAAATGTTCAAAAAAATTAGACAATTGGAGTAATTAGAATCAGGGAATTCCTAAGCAAACAATCCAGACAAGATGGTAACCAAAGTCGTAGGGCTTACCTCTGTACAAATCAAAGATTCTCGCTTGAGGGTGCAGAATAACAAGACAGCAGGGATGGCGACGAAGAGCGCGGAGAGCGGAGAGGGAGTACGTTTTGTGTTTCCTGCCTTTTTATTTAAACAATGGATGACAATCTGGTCACTGTATATTTATTCTCCCTGTTTTTTTTTTTTGGTGAATGTATATTTATTCTCTTTGTAGAGGAACTCTCGTGGCCTTTTACCATAATTTCCATAAATTAATTCGTAAATCTCTGTAATTTTATCAGATTCTTAACCGGATTTTTACAATATTTTAAATGTGTTTTTAGTAGTATCACATGATTTTAATTATGTCTCCGTAATTTTTATACAAGAACATGATACAAATTTGATGAAACTACAAGGATATGATAAAAAATAATCATAAGGATTTTTTTTAAAGTCAGATAAAATTATAAAAATCTGCTTAAAAAAACTACTGGGATTTGATTAAAGATGTGTGAAACTAAAGATTTATAGATTAATTTTCCTTAAAAATAAAATATTTGTAAAAATAGTTGTACTGTGACAAGTCCGGAGGTTAATGACCCAAAAAAAAAAAAGCCCCGAGGGTTGTTGGGGCCGGAAAAGGGCCCTATGGTTCTTCATCCCACCAAATGAGCCTTTAGGGTTACCGATTGATGGTATATAGGCCTCTTGTTTGCTCTCACGTATTCGGTAGGGATTAGCAATGGCTGGGGATGCTTTCGTTCTGATTTTTCTCCGGATGGCTGGCTATCTAATCTGATTTATTACTTAAATTCTGCTTGCCTTCGCCAATCGGAGGTTCGATGATCTTCAGTTGGATTGATCAGATTGATGTGTAACCGCATGGTTTCTCTTTTTATTTCTAGGGACTTTATTTATTTTTTATTTAAATCTCAGCACTTTGTATATATTGACTCATCGTTCTTTTTCATTACGATTCTTTCCATGTTATCCTTGATCAAATTGTTTTGTATACTCGTTGATCAGTTGCATCCTCTGGTCGGAAGTCATCTTTACAGCGAGTTGGTAGTTCATAAATACCTGTCTCGTGTCTGAGGATGACAATAGTGTCTGGAACCACTGGTGCTGTGTAAGCTAAGAAAAGAACTTTTCGCTTCTCATCGCTCAGACTCCGGTGGTAAATTTCACAATAACTTTCTTCTTTCTGGCGACCTTATTAAAGTTTTCACGTGTACATGAGGCGAAAGTATTCCTGCTTGATGCCTTTCTTCCCCCTCTTCCTCCATGAAGTTGGGAACTGAATGTTGTTATCACGGGCTTTATTTTTGTGAGGATTTTACTTGAAAGCTTGTTGGGAACTTGGGCAAACACACTCTCAGAATTCATATATTGAATACATTGAATCCTGAAATTTCAAAACCATCTTATCATATGGAGAGAGTTATTGCAAGGTAAGGGGGCTCAATATATATGGGACTCATCCCTTGGTCTAACTCTCTCTAGCATAGGGGACGATTCGGTTTGCACACGCCATTACCATCAGAGCATTACCACACCCTTGTGGCGTCACTCGTTAGCCTTCGGGGTTTCATTGTTTATAATGCTCAAAATAAAGGTTTGCGGGAGTTAGTCAGGCTTCTTGTGCTGCTCTCATGTGCTTGGAGTTTGGAATATACTCCTACATATCAGTTGGCATGCTGTGCACATTTTCATTTGCCTCCTCCCACATCCCCTCCTTTCCCTCCTCAAAAAGATATGGATGATATTCCATCTTTCAGAATGTTAAATGAAATTATTTTGCAAATAATATGTGAGACTTACCGGAAATCGCGGGATATCAATTCGGGAGGAAATCTGAACTTTGATTTTTTTGTTGCCAAAAGAACTTCACTTGAGTAAGGTGTGGACAATTTGTAGGAATCTCTAAGGCATCTCTAGACGTGCCCTGGTCACACTAGCGAAATCGGGTATGAAAATGTTCAATACGCTTTATGTTGTTTTTAGGTACTTCTCAACGTTATGGCGAGTGAAGGCTTCACACCTGTAAGTTCCGTGTTATTGTGAACTTAGAGGTCTCTTATTTGTATGCATTGTCTGATGAAAGAGACGAAATCTGTGAGTTAATTATTCAGAATAGACATTTCAAAGCCAGAGTATCTGACTAGGTTCACAATAGTGAGAGAATACGAGGCTTAAAGTTAACACCAGACGTCTAATCTCGAGGAAGAGAAGGCAAATGCTGTAGTTCGGGTCGTTGGAAACCTGCTAGTGAAAATTAGATCATGGTTCTGAAGTTCTCAAGGAGGCAGGGGATGTGCTGTCATGGCGGAGGGAAGCATGAATTAAATGTTGAACGTTAAGTACACTTTCATAGTTACTGCCATTATGTATCTGTACTTAATGGCAGTAAATTTGAGAGGCTGGCTCAAGTTGCCTGATCCACCGAGGCATCCAATCTCAAAAAATACTGTGCAAATCGATTCATTAATTAGCACTAAGACAAGTCCGTACGTGTTTTCGTTTTTCTATTCAAAACTTCTGATTCCGAAGATTCTGACGGATATGCTTCTTGCTTTGTTTGATGGTGTGCTGCTTTGGACGAGACAAACAATGCGTGGGCTGGATCGTTATTATCTGGATGATCGATTGAATACATAGTTTAAGCATATACTAAGCTGTCCTTATGCTTTCCCTGTGGGGAAAAGTTCTTAATTTCTGATTTTCGTTAAGGTTAATAATTGCAAACAGAAGTTGATGTAGCCTTGTTGAGTGTTTCCAAACATTTTTTTAGTTCATGTACATGTGGACCTTGTTGAGTCCATGGTTCAGAGTTTGAGACCCAACAGAATTGCCATAAAACTCCACCAAGGTGCTTGGCGAATCTTTGAAAGCTAGCTACTATTAGTTCATCACTAGTTGCTTAGCCTCTTTAATTTGGTGCAAATAAAGAGGTTTTTGTTTCTTCTTCTTGGGCAGGGCCCCTGCCTCCTAGAGACTCTCTCCCGTCACTGCTTCCGTTGTGAAGTGAGAAAACATTCACGTCAGACGGTCACCGTTTTTTCTCTTTAAGAAATTTAATTATTTTTACGTAAAAATATAAGGACATGGCATGTAAACGCTAAAAGTTGACATGTAAACGAGACTACATATATTATTAATTTCTTTTTAAAACCTGTTTGTAATTCTCTCATGATAAAATATGATTAGCTATGATTGATTATAGGCAGTTCCAGAGACCACCAAAATCAAAATTAGTTTTAATCGATTTCAGTGTGAAATCAAATATACATGTTAATAATTGATCTCAGTAGACTATTTTGATTCCGAAATCATCCTTCCTAATATTCTGGTACAAATTCTGTTTCAGATAGTGTAACGACAACAAATAACAACAGTACATAATGTGAAATGTTAAAAGAAGAAGAAGAAGAAGTAAAGGATTTTGTACCCACAAAGATACTCTTGTAGTTGCTTTTCATTATCCGCGATTTAAAGTGAAATAATAACGAGTTTGGTTATTTAGTTCTTTATGGTCAAACAAATATACAGACAATTACATTTGCAAGTCATTTATAAAATTTACGAGGAAAACTAGTTTGGAGGTTCTTATAGTTTTCATCAATTTTAAATTAGGCCCCTATGTTTTTTTTTCTTTTTATTGAGTCCTTTAATTTTCTGCCGTTGGATTTGTCAGTCCCCACGGTTAAATGAAACAAACACAGTTAAAATTTCCGTTAATAAGCACAGCTTTGAAACATCTCGATTTGAAAAATCTTGTCCGTCTATCTCTTCCATCATATCCCAAGCTTTGAAACCAAGCTCCCCCCTCCATCTCTTCGTACAATATATATGTTTTATGTTAAACAATGGGGCTTTGTGGTGTCGCCTTGGATCGCCACAAATGGAGCAAGCACAATGGATAGAGATTTCCCTGTTAAAGTGAAGCTTGGATATGGAGAAAGAATGACTTAACTTGAACCTTTGCATTTTGTCAAATCTTTGTTTGAAACTTAACTTAGAGGTTGATGGTACAGCGAGGAATGCGATGCTTTTGGGGGCATTTAATTTTAACAGCAATCATCACAATTCCAATTGCTGACCTGTGAAAAATATTACTCTGTATAGCTGATGAATGGCTGAAGAGGTGGGAAGGGACGGCAGTGAGGTTAGGAAGATAGTGGGGAAGGAGAAAATATTGAGGAATGAGGGGGGAAGCGTGGTCTCAGAGCTTGGGTTATGGCGAAAGAGAAGGATGGGGAAGGTGTTTCAGATGTCTAGCTTTGCTTACTAACACAGATTGTAACAGTGTTTGTTTTAATCTAATGGCAGAGACTAACGGATCTAACGACAGAAAGTTAAAGGACTCAATAAAAATAAAAATAGTTTAGGGAGCTGATTCAAAATTGATGAAAACTATAAGGACTCCAAATTAGTTTTCCCAAATTTATAACATGACATCAAAGTGAATTCATCACGTACGTATTATTTATTCTGGTCAAATGTATTTGTTATATAGTTATTTGTGAAACGAAGGTGTCGTAAGTCATAAACAGCTATCTGAACCTTCGAATATGAATATGAATATGATTGTGATTCAAATGCTTGAAAAATAACTCAACTCAACATAAGAGATTGTACACAATTTAGTGTCTTACATCATTTGACTCTTTTTCTCTAAAAATCAATTTAAATAAACTGGCTAAATGGCCTGTTCAGCCTATCAAAGGAGTAATCTGAATCAGGCGCAGATATATTTAGTAGTATTCGTATGTTTCTACATTGGCAGCTATGAGGCGTCACCTTACATACAAAAAGGATATGAGCATTATATATTACGCGGTTCTTAATCAAGTCCTTGAGTTCTGATTGCCCATATTGCTCCTTTGAAAAGGATGGTTTGAGTTCAGATTCTCTGCTTCTTAATCGTGATTAACACTTTAATCAATCATTATAAGGAGACAGAGATAATAGACGCTACCAGAACTGCATAATTAATCACCCTATCACCCTCGAGTACTTGTCACGTAGCATATCCATGGTTTATTATCATGTAAATGAACATGCAAAAAGACAAAACATGTTGATTTTGCATATCTTTTTTGGGTAGTTCTCTACATCTTTATGCTCGCTATATATATACACACAATCTGAAATTGTCAGCCGACAGTAACTTAATTACGGGTGATTGGTCGAATCCATATTATAAATTTGTTCGGGAGAGAAGTATCCTAATGAAGATTACATCTCAACTAAAATACGGTTCAACTAAACATATGCATAACCAATCAAGCTCCACCG